TCACAAGGAAGTTTTGTAGGTAAACAATAGCTTAATCACGGGACACCGGATAAATCACTTATCCGGCACTTCGAGCCAAATAACTATTAATTATTAAATTGCCTATAAAAAATTAAGCAGTATCTCTATTTGTATATATACTAAAAACGTCCGAATCTAAATGGACAGATTCTGTGACAATTGCGTGTTCCGCTTACAAGCTGATTAAACTTAGGTGTACCAAGAGTATCACGTTTGAATATTGCATTATTTGATGGTAAACTCGGACTACAGAGCTTATCGTACAAGGTATCAAAGGACTTTTAAAAAATCTCTTGTATTCCTAGCAACAATTCTAATTCATCAACAAAAGATGGCATCTCTTTTATCGATGCTGGAACTGAAACTTGCCCAATATGAACCATAAAATATGTTCCTTGGATAAGTTCTGTTATATAAAAGTCGATTATATAATCTAAATAATGAAATGGCAAAAAGTGATTTGATTAAAAGAAATTGTGTGAGAAAAATCATATTATACTGATTTGCTTACCAACACAATGAAAACCAAACACGTTAATATCGGTACTTTTGTCAATTGCCAAATCTACACAGTCTTTCATGAAAACTCCAAGCCGAATGAGATCTTTGCAGTTCTTGTACACATTATTTCTTTGTGATGGTGGACTAACTTCACCAACAAATATAACTGAATCTGTTTGAAGCTGATGTATAATTGAAACCACGAAATCTGGTTGCTTGGTCTGGCCTTTGTACTTCCTTGATTTGCTTTCATTCAGAGCCTTGTTAGGCCACTAGACGATATGTTTATCTGGATTATGAAATAAACTCTTCATAATGTTGTCTATATAATTTATAATATATATTATTTCGTTAGGTTCATTTCTAATTTTCTCGCTGGGTAACGTCTCCAGGCATTTCAAAATTAAAGAACCTGAGCTTTTTCTCAAATTTCGATCACTTGCAAGTTCTGTATAGAACCAATCTATAGCACATTCACGTGACTTTTTACTTCTTGATTGCCTCTCTAAATTTTAATTCATACATTTAGTGTTATGTTCTGAACTGGCATTACGTTTTGATGTATTTCATCAAGCAAGCGGAAACCAAATATATCAATGATTGTTTTTGAATGAGAATTTGGTGTAAGCAAAAAAATTGATGACAGCGACAGTATTTCGTGAACATTTGACTCTACAAATAAACCTCCATTTTTTGCAATCCATATTGACTTATTCTGGAAGTTCCGAAATAATTGAGACACATTAGCCTCTCTTATTCTATAATCATCTGATGGAGTCCCGTCCTTAAAGCATAGATTATCAATATCATCAATTATTACGGCTTCATCGTCATAATCATTATCTTCAAAGAAGATACTATTTTCCTCCAATCGCGCATGTGATACTTCTGGTGAATCTATTGACACCGAGCATGGCGGAAGCGAGCTTGCTGATGACATAATACATCCCTCTTTGTGTTGTTTCTTTATTGAAAGCCCTCCTCACGATCTTTCAAATTTCGTCTTTTCCCTAAACCATCACTCTTCTTACCTTCAAGCTCTTTATTATATTGGAGCTGGTAAAAAAATTCAACTTACTATAAGTATAATAAACATGCAAACCAGTAAAAAACTGTAATTTCAATTTATACCATTGTATTATCAACATTATTAATGGAGGTATTGACATTTGCGATGGAAGTTTTAAAAGCTTTTGTGGTGTTATGCATTATGGTACGAGAAGCCTCCTCCTGTAGTTGTAAAAAAATAATGAGCTTGAGCTTGTTTAGGCAGAATAGAATAATTTGTTAAACAAAAAACTCACCTCGGCAAGGTGTCTCTCGATTTTCTGCCAAATCACATCAACGTCCTTGAAATATTTACAATGTCCCTATATAGTTAAACTGGATTTAGTAAACTGTTTCAAGGTGTATGATTGAAAATAAAGCATGTAAGAGGCGACACAATGGACATTCTGTTCTGTAAGGTGGGCCAACATTCCGATTGCCACCGTAGTTGTATGAGTTCCTTCCCATAAGATCATTGATTGCAACCTCAACATGCGATACTCTTATACAAAAAGCGGTAAGAGAGTTATCATTCTGTATAACACTTCAAAGCCTTATATGCATCTCTCTGCCAACTAGAATAAAAATGATGGGAAAAAAAACAGATAACTTCACCTTGCGAGCTTCATCTAACTTACTAGCGCTCATATTCATTTCGTCCGAACTATACTTCTTCAGATTAGCAAGATCCATTTTCAATTTATACGACTCTTTTTTGAAGACAGAGGTGAAATCAGCTTGTTTCGATCGATATTCGTAAAATCCCAAAAAACTGTAATCTTTGCTGTGTCAAAATAAATATTCCATAGTTCTGACATGGTTAAAAATTGTGTAAGACTGTCAGACGAATTACTCAGACGATCGATTGCACAATTTATAACTGCTGGACCGCTCACGTGATATACAAATCGCCAATTATATTTACTATCCGATTGGCTTATCTTTGACTTATTGCATATCATAACTTTTTATATCATCCTTTTTATATTTAATACAATATATGCAGGTCAAAAAAATAACACGAGGAGGGTCAAAAAGGCATCAAGGAGAGAGAGGAAAGAGGGAGTACGCGGATTATAACACGCAACGTGTTTAAAAATTGGAAGTAAAATCTTTATTATATTTTTTCGTAATGCAATATATAAGAAAGTGCCAGTCCGTTAAGTAAATAATGAATAAAAAAAATAGATCGAAAGACCAGAGGAATGTAATGATTGAAATAAATGATGCTATCAAAGAGGGAGGGAGTTCTCGGATCCTAAGCCATAAATGAGAGTCCCAGCATCAAAGTTATTTCGCAATATTACCTCTACTGATACTTCTTCTAATGCTACTGCTACTACTACTACTATTGTTACTACTGCTACTATCAGAAAAACTAACTGATTTCTTATTTCCCTCCTTTTCAACCCATTTGATAATTTTATCCATAGAAGTTCTTCTTGATGATTTTTGATGATGATAAAAACTAGCTAATGTGCTAGCACTAAGTCTGATTTTGATCAATAAAATATTGTACAATTGTGTTAGTGAACGAGCTTCTCTTTTCCTCCTGTTATTAAAAAAGGCTGTAAACTCGACCCAGTATGTTTCATATTCATCCATATATTCAGAATATTGTCCCATAGAAACGTGACTTGTAAAAGAGAATCAGTTTGATCTGGCTAGAAAAAAAATAAGATGCAGTTTGACGCAGATAAGTATATATGCATAACGTGATATTTTTTTCCTCTGTAACACATAACTTACCTTGAGATATCGCATCATTTCTCTATTCGACTTCTGTACGTATTTTTTGAAGTTTATTGCTTAATGTTAAAACTGTTCTTTTGAGATTATTGTCTCCTAATCATATTAGATATTTGCGAAAAAAGAAGATAGCAATGGCAAAGATTATATAAATGTTTACGTTTTCTGAAAAAATGCTTTAGATTATATCCATTATAAGAACACTATGGGTTATCATCTCATAAATTACAATTGTGATGCTGAAAATTGTGATCAAGAAAATATCTGTGTTTGAGAACATCTTTTAGATAGATTTTTGTTTTATTAGTTTTATATGAAATTGATATTTTTTTTACTTATTGGAAGAAAAGAATTACCAAAGTGCTTCTTTAGAAATAATCCTTTTATAATCGTTTGGTAAAATAAATACTCATATACATTAGCATAGAAAATTTGCGTCAAAATATGGATCTGAAACATTTGGCTGAAAGTGTTATGTATGAAAATGATATCATATATACATTCCTTATTTCTGAAAAAAGAAAATTACTAAAATCCTATCTGGTGATTATACCTAAAGACGAAAAAAGTTAGTGTATTTTCATATTTCCATATCTTCACAACCAGTGATGTACATTTTTGATGTCTCAGAGATTTGTTGTTTCAGCTATATGTTCTAGCTATATGTCTCAACCTGTCTCACACTATGTCCCAAATGTCCTATCTGTTCTATCTATGTCCTATCAGCGTCCCATAAGTATCCCATCAATGTCCTATGACAATACTGCCCACAATATATTTCAAATAATAAAAAATAATAATATTTTTTTTCATAAATGCTTGGCCATGAGGTTTTACGCAAGAGTAAAGTTTTTTATTAATAAAAAATATCTAATAAATTGTTAAATAGCCTTGTTATTATATAATATACAGTATCTACATTATGTGAAGTTGCCTTCAAACTAAAGTTTACTTCTATTCTTATTCACTTAATTCATTTATATCTAAAGAAAGAGAAATAGAATATATTTAATGAGACACTGTTCATTTTAATAAACTATCTATATGAAAATAGTGTGTCAACTAAAGAATGAGATCTCAAAAAGACCTTTCAGCTAAAGGTCAAAATAATTTTTTTTGTTATTTCAAAAATAAAAAAGGTAGGCTTCTCTTTATTTGTGACACAGTTTGATATAAAAATTAGCATTATTAATATATGATGTAAATCAAAAAGTGAAAAAAATAAGCAGGATATTTATAAAAAATTATCAGACAGATCCACATGAATATTTTTGCGAAAAATTAGCCATTCTAGAAATAAAATTATTGGAAGCATTAGCGTAAATTTTACACTCTTTGTATGCAAATATGCATAGCTTATCTAATAAAATATATTGCTTTTTTGATATAGTCCCTTCTTTTCAAGTAAAAAAATTACGTTAAAAGTAAAATCTGATGAATATGTTAAACTGATATGCTGTAAACTTATACTAACAGAATAATGGTATATCTACCATTTATTATCTAGATTGGCTGATATGCCTCTATTGAAAAAATCAGAATAAAGAATATTCATCATGAATCAAGATCTGTAAAAATAGTAGATAATAAATCACCTATGCTGGATTACGTACTGCTAATTTTCATTTAAAAAATAAATTAAATTGAATCCTGATTATAATATACCAGAAGATGAGAATTTTTTACAGGAGCTTCACCTAGAATTTCATACTGCTATTGCTGCTGCTGCACTCTGTAATTTAGAAAAAGCAATTGATCAAGCACGAGCTATTGAAGTGGTATTATTTAAGGATAGCACATTTTCTGGGTATTTTTTAAGTAAAGCATATCTGAACCAAAAGGATGATAACGCTGTTGAAGATTCCACCGCTACTCCTGACATTCAACAACTTATTGATTGAAATAATAACAAGTTGATAAAAGAATTTAAGCAATTATTAATTACCTCAAATACTACGTCACATTCTCAAAACACTAGCTTACATCTAGCTAATACAAATAACAACTGGAGAAATAATAATAATAACAATAGTAATCGAAACAACTAAAACTATTATAATTGTGAATGACCTGATCATATTGTTAGGGATTGTAGGCAAAGAAATAATCCAGAAAGTCAAAATAATAATGGAAATAATTGATACAATTCAAACAATAAGTCTAATACAGGGATTACTTGTCATAGTTATCATTAAAAGGGATATATTACCAGAAACTATAATAATTCACCAAGAGGATCTTGCCTACACTGTGAACAATTTAGACATTGAGGATATGTATACCTAACTAGAAGTATGAATAATTCTGTTGAAAATACTGGAGGAATATTAATATGCCAATTGGCTTTAATACCGGACAATGTACTGCACTATCTCAAACTACACTAATGTATAATACAGACTTTATTCTATTACCACAAACCTCTATAACCTTTCCTATCCTAAACTTATTACTAGCAAATACCAGAATATATTTGCCTCTTTGTCCTAATCTTTAAACTATTGATAGTATCTCAGAAGGGTGAACGTACCAATGAAAGAATAAATCCCTCAGAATTACCAAAGGCTGTAGAAGTAGTTTATTGTAATACTACCATTGACAATAAACTAATATATTTAATTTTAGATTCAAGATCAGCTGGAAGTGTAATGTCTAAATCCTTTTTGTAACAATTAGAGTGAAAAAATCAAATCAGCTTCTACTATCATGATGATTAATATACAAAGAGAATAATTATGACCTTTAGAATGAGTTACTAACATTCTCTTACAAATAAATGGTATAGAGGTTTCTATTAATGTCAATATCACAGAATCAATTGTCTACTATATATTAGCAGAAAATGATTGGCTTACCAAATGTCGAGGATGACTTTATTAGGACTGTCAAAAATTTACATTTATCTAGAATAACAAGGAATATTAGATATCTATAACCTGTTGAGAGAAATCACAGTTCAATCACTTTCAACAACCTGTTAATATTATCAAAGCCCATCTGATGAAGAATATAAAGATAAGGAATTAATAGCCTAATGACATTATGTGGTATTAGGGGATCATAATAATCTTATACCTTTAACTGAAAGTAATCCAAAACAAATTTCGGTGGATAGACAAAAGTATTCCTCCCAATACTTTGAAAGTTTAAACCAAAAATTTAATATCCAACCACCTAAAGATATTAAATAGAAATATCATTGACAAGGATGGGAAATCAATATTGGTGTTATAATAAATTAGATAAAATCGATGATAACTGCCAACTTTGTAAGAAGAAATGAGATTATTGACAACTACTATGAAATATTCTAAACAAACTACCACCTTGTAAAAAGATTTATAAACATCTTAATGGATCTTAACAGCAGCAAATTACTCAATTTTTACGCAAAAATAGTGATACGTTCACTGAGGATTTATCACAATTAGAACATACAATAATTGAGAAGTATCACATATCAGTAGAAAATCTGATATCTATATGACAACGTGCATATAGAGTAGCTCCTTTGAAACAAGAATTTATCAAAGATGAAGTTGCTAGAATGCTAAAATATAACTTGATATAACCATCTGAAAGTCATTAGGTCTCGCCTGTTGTTCTTGTCAGAAAGAAAAATAGAAAACTTTAGTTTTGTATTGACTATAGAAAACTTAATAGTATTATTCAATGAGACAGACATCCCTTATCACATATTAACGAATTGCTTGACATGTTTGGAAAAGCTAAATATTTTTAACATTAGACTTGGCTAACGGATATTGGCAGGTTACTATAGATCCAAATAACCAAGTCAAAACAACTTTCATAACTAATCAAGGACTTTATGAATTTAAAGTGATGCTATTCAGATTAACAAATGCCCTTGCAACTTTTCAACATTTAATGAATAAGATTTTTAGAGAAGAGATCAGACAGTTTATAGCTATATATCTTGATGA